CTAAGGAAATCTGTAATGAGAAGCTTTGAAATTCATAAAAAAATTTAGTTCAACTAAAGAAAACATTTCAATATAAAAGGGAAGTTGGGGTCTTCCCTTCACACCTTAAGAAAGCTGTCACGCACAAAAACAAACAAACAAAAACAAATAGCCACTGCATCTGGGTCAGACACACTGCCCAGGGAATCTGTATGAGCTTAAATATTTTAACTTTCACTTCCCCTATTCCTGAACTCCCAGAGGTCAGAGGCCAAGTCTTTGTCATTTCTCTAAACACAGAATCTTCCATGAGGCCCAGGACACGGCAGAGCCTTTGTAAATGTTTGCTGAATGAGTGCATGACAGATGCACCCTGGTCTGCGGAATGAGGGAACAAACAGGGAGTTCAGCAAGTAGAGAGTGCAGAAAGTACATGACCCAAATCACAGTCTAAGTCATAATCACCATCACCAACCTTCAAGATTCTCAGTTTCTTTTAAAGAAAAAAAAAATAATAAAGATCTTCCTGTACTCTGGGTTTTCAATTTTTTTTTTCTTTCTCCTTCAACAAAGTATTGTCGAATGAAATGGAGCTATTATGAGTATAGGCCTTTCAAGTTCACACTCTATCAGTGGTCACACAAAGTCTGCTGGCATTATTCTGAATCCGGCCTTTGACTGCAACCGCAAGTGGTTGAATCGTCATACTAAGGCTACCAGAAAGCACTAGCAAAGCACGCATTCTGAGAACAATAAAAAACACACACATGTCCTACCCTCTTCATCATCAGTACCTTGTCCCATACAAGCCTCAAAGGTAGAGCCTTAAGACTGATCTCTATGGAAGAAAGGAAGAAAGAAAGAAATGAAGGAACATGAAATATGAAAAATGTAAGCACCTATAATTTGCATAAAGCCCCCAATTTTCTTTGGTAAGAAATTCATACTTAATTGCCTAGTGAGGCAGACCCTGCCATGTGGCTGGGGAGGCGCCTCTCCTCTGAGAAGAACCAGTAAGGAACTTTTGGGGACTCCTTACCCAGCCTGCCACCTTGTATAAGAATGGGTCCTTGAGAGGGCAAAGGTCACCTTTCACTCTCAGGGATACCTTCCAGGAACACAGTTGCAGCCCCTGAAAGTCTGCCTTACTAGCTGTTTGCGCATTTTCAATGTAGCACAAAAGTGCTGCTACAGAAGAGACATTCCCTACTTGAAACCAGCAGAAGCTTGATGGGAATAAAGACTCTGGAAAGGTCGCAGAGAGGAAAAAAAAAGGTTCTTTCTTCTGTGGCTATGGGGGTTTATTGTTGCTGGTTCCCAAAGTAGAAAAGGAATAGCAGGAGATTAATAATTGAAATTGAAATGTTTCCATTGCTGGTTTTCTAAACTATTTGAGGGTTATGTTTTCCCTAGAGTCATCATGCCTGTAAACAACTAAGAAGACAGAGGGATTTAACACATACTGAGAAAATGCCTACTCTAGGCAGGAACTCTACTAAATATACTTGGTTCTAATAGTAGCCTCACACAATCCAATAAAGGCTAAAAGTTCTGAAAAGTAAAATACCAAAGTCATGAGCTAGATTCAAACTCCACTTTCTCTGATTTGAATGTCCTGCCATCCTGTCCAGGATCAAAGATAAAACTAATGAGTTTTGATTCACTATTCAAATGTTAACAAGGAAAACAATAGTTATGCTTTCTTATTTAATTTTGTTTTTTTTTTGTTTGTTTGTTTTTTTGTTTTTCGAGACAGGGTTTCTCTGTGTAGCCCTGGCTGTCCTAGAACTCACTCTGTAGACCAGGCTGGCCTCGAACTCAGAAATCCACCTGTCTCTGCCTCCCAGGTGCTTGGATTAAAGGCGTGCGCCACCACCGCCCGGCTCTTATTTAAAAATTTACAACAAAAACACAGGCAAAGATATTATAGATGATGAATCATAAAATTCTTTTCAGGAAGATGATTCAGTATCTTGTTTCTTGGTTTGCATCTTGGTGACCAGGTTGTCTCTGGGTCCATCTGATGAGGGACTTCAGTATGCCAGTGCTTACAAGTCTGAATGTGAAAGGTTCTTTGGTGTCCTCCACACTGATCAACAAGCCACATCTCAGGTAAGGAAGACATAGTTAACTTGGAATTTAGGTCTCTCTAATTGGGAACCCATAGAGATACAGACCCCTGTGCGTGACCTTTGCACTGCATACTGAAAAGGCCTTGGTAAGTAGAGTTGATGAAGAAATATAATCACAAGGCAAATGTTTAACCTTCTAAGAAAACACCCCCCTTTATTACAAGAAGTTTAACTTGATCAGTATCAAGTCACTGAAAACTAATGTGATGTTTATAAACTGACTCTTAAAGACAGAACTAGAAGACTGTTACACTTGGTCACTTATTAATTCATATTATCAAATATGCTTTGTTTCAAAAACAGCACACCTATATAGATTTCTACATTCCAGCCTTCACTTGGTATTTATTTGAGTCACACTCCATTTGGGAAATTCCAGCTAAAAAGTCTCATGTGTCATTAGACATCTGAGAAGAATCATGTGGAACTATTACTAGGAGAAATCCCTCTTTTGGAAAAGTCTGTAAGAAAAGCCCTGTTCATTTAAGACAACACACACACACAGAGTCCCTGGGTTCTGGTTGAAATATGATAAAAATCAGGTTCACTGGATCCACAGATTGTCACTAGGGGGTCAAAGGAGAGGTCACTGTAGTCTTGGACACACTCAGCACTGTGAGAGAATGTAGGTCCTGGAAGCATAGACCTTGACTATGGAGGTCACATTTCTCTGTCTCATAGCATGTCTCTCTCAGAAAGACCAGCCGGGCCTGAGCTTTGGGCTGAGTGACTGGGTTGGTAGAGAAGTGGTGCTGAGCAAGACTAGGAAAATAAGTCTAAGAACGTAAAGAGATGCTCCCAAACAATAAAAAAGGCTTCAAACAAAAGAACAAGTAAGAGAACCCACAGACAAGGCTCAAGAAAACCCAGGGTTGAAAGGAGCTGACAGATTAGGTTGCCTGGGACAGAGGAGGGCTAGAGAGTAAAACTATGAGCAGAGAAAGACTTCTGAGCTCCACAGTCCTGCAGTGTAACATTTTACACACCTGTAATTCTTTTTCCGACATAATCACTAAAAGAACAAGGTTCTAGGACCAACTGTGCTGGGTCTTGCTTAGCCCCAGGGGGCGTAGCCTACATTCCTCATGGATTTCAAATGAAATCAACATGATAAATGAAGTTCCCAGGGTGGCTTTGTGCAAAGTTGACAAAATACATCCCGACCCACCTACCCAGCCTCCTGGAAGAGGAATTTTTATTCCTCTATTACAGTTGTGATTCAATGCCAAGTTCTTTCTAAAATGCTCACCCCGAGCGTCCAGCAGAGGGAGTCTCAAGGAGGTACTTAATAAAGAGAAAACTGTTTCATTTTAACACTCTAGACAGTGGGAGCTTTGACTGCAGCCCCCCTCCCCTAGACACAGAGGAACAATGAATGCCCGACATAGACTCTACTACATGTTCACATCCCCACTGGCATGTTCCTATTCTACGTGGTGGAGTGATCTGAAATTTTGTTTTGTTTTGTGGAACGGTTAAATAGACCTTGTGTTCTTCGGAATCAAAGAGGAAAGCCCCTGGAATAACATTTCTCTGTTGCTTTCTAAACAGCCCCTTTGTTTCTAAAGACTCTGGAAAAAAAATATTTACAGTCCATAGGTTATTTACAGCCTCGTTATTCAGAGCCTGACTGGTAACTTTATTCCATGCAGAAACCTAATTCATTTAGAGCCCTGGAACTAATAACAGATTTTCTTTTCAGATAAGTTTTTTTTTTTTAAATCAGCCTCTCCTAACAGAGATAAAACTATTAATGAGATCCCTGTTTCACTCGGCCCAACAGTTCCCCGGGTTTATAGGATTACAATCTCCCCTAGCCCCTCCTCTTGGTTCCTGGCAAACCCATTTCCCTCTCATTTGCGATTTCATCCACAGAATATCTGAACAAAACCGAAAGAAAGCCAGATGGACCCACGCTAAAAGTATGTAAAGGGCTGCTATTTCAATGATTTCACGAGAGAAACATTTTCACGACGAAATAACTGAAAAAATCTGGCACACTTTGGTTGAAAAATACCCCGTACTACAAGCACACAAAAACACACAGAAGTGTAAAAACTTAGTTGATTCCGGCTTGAATTTCTCGCTGCAAGCTGACAGAACTGACTGAAGAGAACCGAAAGAGTGCGTGAGGCAGCTGTATCGCCTTACCTTTTCTTTCTTCTGAAGACAGTCAAACGGGAAAAAAAATCAGCCAACGCCAGGTGAAGGTGCACAGCACCGATTTACCCAGGCCGAGCCAGAAAACCTTCTTTCGTCCTCCCCCCGCCCCCCAAAAAAAGCCAAACTACATTCTCGCTTCCACACGCCAACTGCGGGGAGATTTTGAGCCTATTTCATTGTTCTGCCTGGGTCTGAAATGGACTTTTCATCTCAACCCTCTCTCATCGCTTGGCCCCTTTCAATCAGATTCCACAGCCGCCGCCACCACCACCCCCCAAAAAATCGGAGGCTCGGGAAGAATAAAGGAGTGTGGGGTGGGAGTGGAGGTGTTTGGAAAGGGGAGCAGAGAGGACGGACAAGTAGAAAGGAGATCGTTTAAAGGTAATGGGGGAGGACCGCATCACCTTCATTTATCACAAATAAACAGAAAGCAGTCACGGATCCGTCTTTTCCCACACGCCGCCCCCATTTCTTTTCTTTGGGCAGCAGCCCACCGGCACACACCCCCCAGCCGCCTTCTCTGCCCTGGAAATAAGATCCTGCTCCAGGCCGGCTCCGGTCCCGTCTGGGCCCGGGATGGGGGCACCCGGGAGGGTCGCGAGCCCCCAGGACCAGGGCCCGGGGCTGCGGCCGGGGGCTGCCGGGCGAGGGGCCGCGGGCAGAACAAAGCTACAGGGGCCGCGGCCAGCCGAGCGAGCGGGGGATCGCGGGCCGGGCGCCCATTACCTTCGTACACGGGGGCCATCGGGGCCGGGGTGTCCGCGGTTCATGGCAACGGAGAAGGGAACGCGGCGCGCGAGCTCGGCCCCCTCAGCCTCAGTGGGAATCTGCCATCTTGAGCCTGTGTCTCCGCTCTCGGCGCAGCCCAGGCCGCCAGCGCCCGCATCACCGCCTCACTTGGCCGGCGCCGGGGGAGGGGGCCGGGCGGGCGCGTCGCCGC